CTCAGGTGGTTAGACAATGCTCCGTTATCAGACACTGGTCACAGGCACCCTGAAGGGAAGGCAGCCAACACTACTGAAGTAGAGCCTCTGCTGTCTTCACACAGCCCTGTAACAGGTGGATGCAATGAGTTTCTTGTGTTGCTTTAACGATTCACCCCAAACTTAGAGGGCTTGGGAGCGTCCTCTATTCAGTGCCTGACACAGCTGAAGTCAAGGTCCTGGCAGGACTGTGTCTCTTCATGGGGGTTCTCAGGAGCATTTGCTACGAAGCTCATTCAGTTATTTTCAGAAATTCTTTAAGGCTTCAGGACTTAGGTTTCCTTCTCCTTGCTGGTTGATCGCCCAGAATTCCTTTTCGGCTACTTCCTGTTGTCTTTTCCATTTTCAAACTAGCAGCTGCTAATTTCCCCTTGGAACATGGCACCTGACTCATGCCACCTCTCCACTGCCACATGCCTAAAAAAACTCTCTGATTTTAGACATCCTATAATATTAGATTGGACCCATTTGCAAAACCCCCTAACTTCAGGTCATTGATTAGTGACCTCATCACATTGTCAAAAAACCTGTGCCACATAAGTTCACATCCTAACAGGCTCCATGTATTTTTTGGGGGAGTGGGGGAAGGAGCTGCTAATCCTGTTTCTACCATCAAGCCCTAGAAACTGGCTCAGTGAGGTGAGGTAATTTTCCCAAGGGTACTTAGTGGTAACTACAGGCTTCAAACTTACTCCTATGATCTCACAGCCTGAGTTCTTCCTGTACCACACATGTCCCCTGAGCCTGGAATAGCCTGGCAACCCAGACTCCATTCTGAGGATGGTGGGTGGTGGCAAGTCTCTTTTGGGCTCCACCTCATCTCTCTTTTCAGCCCTGTCCTTTGTGCCTGCGGTGCCTTGGAAATCCCCCATTCTAAATTCAGAAATCCCATATTCTCCCTGTATGTGTGCCAAAGACTCCTGTTTTTGGAGGTACACACCCCCGTTCCCGCCCTGCCACACATACACTTGTTACTGGCAACAGATTCCTTTTTTTTTTTTTCTTCTAGAGACCAAAAGCTAAAAGTGAGATGTGGTTCAGACTCAGAGTAAGTAGATATATTACATGTATCCTGTGTTATGTAAATTGGAGTTTAAGTATCCAATTTTAATGCAAATCAACCTCTGAAAGAAAACTCTAAAAGCCACATTTCCCTAAAGCCTGCTCACGTCCTAAACTGTGGGTATAATTATCAAAAGTGCTCAGCTCCTTTTAGAAACACTTGGTGAGAATGAAGTACCAGGGTCAGCAGATGGGGGGGTGGGTGCGTTTAACCAAGACACAGCGTGGCTTTTGCAAGGCCCTGCAGCCAATCCATCTGCAGCGACTTCTACAGCGGAGATGGGGCTGGGTGAAGGTAGAACTCAGTCACAGTCACCCTGGCCAAAGAGGACATGTAATTTTGGAGCCATGAACTAAAGTCAACATAACATAGGCAAACATATCTAGAGCACATAGAAATTCTACCTTCTGGAAAAGACAAACATGTCAACCTGCTGCTATTGTTTAGGTGAGACGCCCTCAAACCTGACTCCACTGGATTCAGTGTAAACTACTTCAAATGGTGCCGCATGTATTTTGCATGTATTTTATTGTCTGCCCTTCCTCCTCATCCCAGGTTCAACCAACAATGGAACAGTATTTCATTGAAAATAGAGAAGCAATTGGGTTTGTCTTGAGCATACATGTACATCCATTTTCCTCACTATCTTCCCCTAAACCATGTAGTTTAACAACTGTTTACATTGTATTTACATTCTACTGTGTATTATAAGTAACGGAGACGTGATTTAAGGAATATAAGCGCTTGTACATAGGTTCTAAGCAAATTCTACATCATTTTATATAAGGGACTTGAGCATCCGTGGGTTTGGGCGTGGGGCGATCTTGGAACTCAAAGAGACATCTGTGTCTGGATTGCCTTCTCACCCAGAAATCCTTTCCCGTTCAGTCTCTCGCTTTTCACACATGCCTTTTGTGAGCAGTTTCAACTATTCTGGGCCTCGAGAATCAGAGGTGAGATGAGCTTTCTGCTCTTGCCTTAAGGGAGCCAGCAGGGAGGCGGGCACAGATAACCAGACAGCCACAGACTTAGATGCTCAGTGCAAGGGTGATATAAAGAGCTTCATGCTAAGAAAATGGGATGGTGGAGTAGGTAGATGGGGGAAGGATGGTAGTAAAAAGAAGGCAGAGAAAGCGTCCTAGCTGTAGAAGAGGTCACTCAGAGCTGCCATCTGCAGGAGTTCGCAGTGGATGAATAAGGAGGCTCTGTCCTGGTTGAAGGCCTGAGCATCTGTAAGTTCAGGAGGGTTGGCCAGGTTGGAAATGGGGGGAAGCAGCCTGGTTAGCCTGAAAAGATGGACGAAGCTGTGGGGAGGGCAGGAGAGAGCCACTTTAGATGCAGACCTGGGAGGCTTGCCTCTCAGCTAAGAGTTGGAGAAGCACTTAGCAAAGTGTGGCCAGGATAGAGAGGAAAAGGTCGGTAGGTAGGTATGAGGGAGACAGAAGCAGATCTTTAAGACTTGGTAACTGTGTGTGTGTGTGTGTGTGTGTGTGTGTGTGTGTGTGTGTGTGTGGTGGGATATGCCACAGACAGGATTCCTTTACTCTGACAGGCACCTTCTTTCACTCTCTTTTGTAACCAAAGTGTTGTTCACACTCTCACACCAGGCACCTCACCATCCATCATGTGGACCCACTTTAGATTTCCCACCTTCTCATACTTTGTGGCCTGGTTACCCCGTGCACATAATCATCTGATGTATCCACTCTTGGAAAAGTACTTTATCTTCTGGTATTCAAAAGTTTATTCAAAATTTTGTGTACAAAATTAAAGTACTTTATAAAGATAAAGTACTTTATCTTCTGGTATTCAAAAATTTAAATTTTTTTTTTTAAAAAAAAAAAAAAAGGACAAAAAGAAAAATAATCCAGAAAGGGCTTTCAAAGTGCTATTAGCTGGCTACGGCATAATAGAATGTTGGGGCGCCAGGGAAACAAGTGATTGCTGCAGTGACTGTCTACAGTGCTTCTCTGTGGTCTCAAAAATGTTTGTGATAGCTTATAAAATACCTCTCCCATACCTCCCAGGGACTGTTTCTCAACTTCTCTATTCAAATCAGCCCTTGGTAATGCCAAATGACTTCGAAGCCAGCTCTGTGAGATTGCATCTTGATTTGAGCAGCTGTGTGTTAGCATCACTCTAAAGAAAGGAAGGGTGCTGTTAAGTTGAACCAGAATGTGCCATCCTTGCAAGTGGATCCTTGCAATGCTGCCTGCATCCAAATGTGACTGCAGCATCCAAGAGGGACCATCCTCACCTTGTACAGTTCAAGAGGACAGGAAGAAACCCCAGCAGACAAACTGAATAGAGCTGGGCTGCAACTCAGAAGGATTTCTAAAAATTGCACAAAAATTCTCAACCCAGAATGTGCTGGACAGTGAAACAGTTTCAGAATCTTTATGAGGTCTATAGCCATGCCACCCTGAACATGCCCAGTCTTGTCTGAATCTTTATGAGCAGCTTTGGGGCATAGACTAGGCCACTGGTATTTGCTGCTGGGGAGGAGGGCTGGGCCTTCTCACTAAGTAAGAAATACTGTGATACCCAGCTTCACCTAGGCTGATTTAGCCTGGAACCCCACGCCAGCACATCCACAATTTTGGTTACGTTCCACAGGACCGCTGTGGACCAACTCCCCAAATAGGAGAGTCGCTGTTGGCTTATGTACTGGGGACTGCAGAGTCCAGTTTTGTTTATTATGCTTCCAGCCTGACCCCCACTTGGCAAGAAACCAATTTCCTGATAGATTTCTCCCCTATACTGCCCAGGTTGAGAAAACAGATGCTATGGGTTAGGCCAAAGCCATAAATTTCTGGGAAATAGTTGTTAGTGACTGAGGAAGAAAGCCATAAAACATCCCGGGGGCAGGGACAGGAGACCCAATGGCAGTGGATAATGCCAGGCAGCTCAATGCCAGGAAGAATCCTGCCATGGATCACTTTTCTGGCCTGTGTACTGCTCCTTAAGCCCATGCCAGCACCCCTCCCCATACCTGCCAGTGCCCCAGAGGAGAAGCAGCCCACACATAAGGACTCCCTCCCTTACACTTCTCTGATTGGCTTGCTTAACCAGCAGTCATTGTGGGCCTCTTGTACAGTAGACCCTAGGCATACTGAGGGATGGAGATATTCAAGGAGAAAGCAGACCACATCCAAGCCCTGGTACAGCTTGCTATTTAGCTCCTCTCAGGTCTCAGTTCCTGGGTACAAACTGACATGTCCAGGAGATGCCACCATCCTCGCTTAGCTCAAGCTATTCACAGCACCCCAGGAAGGAAGGTCATTACATCAAAGCTACTCTTTCCCATAGAGGGAAAGAGGATAGCTTAAGTGTAACTAGATGTTTAAAATGGATTTCCTATCTGAGATGTTTTCCCTGTAGCTGCAAATACCAGCCACCGCTGTGGCCAGGGCAGGCCACCTGCACACAGTAGCCAGCCACTCTCCCTCCTTGCTTATTGTCTCACTGAAAGGTAAGGGCAAATTACCTCGTGGTTTTTGTGGTGATTAACCCAGCACAATGATGGGAAGGGATTGCTCTTTCACTCCTGTGCTACAACCCCAGATTCCCAAGTCCACTGCTTCTAGTTTAAGCCTGTATCTGGCCCCAGGGACTTGGCATCCATCTTCATTCTCTCGAATTTCACATTTCACTTTCTCTCTCAAGAACCTGCTTGGGCAAGCTCCTCTGGTCTTTGCTATTCACACTTCCCATGCATGGAGAAATTCTCTTGCTATGACCACCTTTCTACAATCACTGTTCACCCTGGCCAGTCTTTTCCCAAACAGACTGGCTCAGATTTCCCAGACTCCCTTGCCAGACCCTGGTAACTTGTCAGTTGAGTTCTCAGGATGTGCTGAACAATATATAGGTCATGATCTATGAAACAGAGACTTACCAAAGTTCTCCCCACCCCAGATGTCCATGTCGATGTCATATTTACCCAGGTAATCGAACCAGGCTTTGTCAATCACGAAGAGCCCTCCAGCTATGATCGGAGTCCTGTGTGTTTGGAAGGAAGATAAGGTGGGGGATCATTTATATGAAGAAATAGCCTCAAACTCTTTGGTTCTGGGAGTCTAGAACTCAAAGCAATTTTCTAGCAGTATCTGCCCCTCTTCAGAGGAGCCAATATATTTTTTAGGCTATCTAAAACAAGGATCTGCTACAGAGTTTCGCCTTCTGCTTATAAATTCTCTGCCCTGGAAGACAGGAAACTTCACTTATCAACCCACCTCCAAGGAGCTTCCACCAGCCCCTGCTCCTCTGGTTCTGCCTGGTATGGCACTTGGAGAGAACTGGCCAGGCAGGGAACAGCTGTGAGCAGTATGGCTGTATCCTGGCCTGGGCTTACTTCCTTGATTTGAATCTTTTCTTTCTTTCTCTTTCTTTCTTTCTTTCTTTCTTTCTTTCTTTCTTTCTTTCTTTCTTTCTTTCTCTTTCTCTTTCTCTCTCTCTCTTTCTTTCGTTCTTTCTTTCTGTGTGTAGATGGGGGTTCCTCCTTTAACCTATTATAGCTCTTGCAGATGTTTGATCATTTCATTGAATTGATTTATGTTGAATTGAAGACCAGAGGGGTAACAAAGAGCTCACTGATGATGGACTAGACAGGTAGGTAGAGACTCAGAGCTCAACTCGGAAGAGAGAAGTGAGAAGAGAGACACCAGAGAAGGTACTCAGAAAGAAAAAGAAAAAGTGTTCAAGAGGCACAGAGACAAGAGCAGCAGGAGCTGAACAGGCAATTCTATAAGGATTAGGACATGTGTCAGTAAAATTAGTGGCTAGGGTTGTAAATATGCAGGGTCTTGGCTCTCAGAGAGCAAAGGGAGTTTTTCTCCAAAGCAAACCTAGAGAGCAAGTCAGAAGGCCGAGTTTGCCTTTGCTATGACAACACGCTGCTTTTGTGATGCTGGACTAATTCTGGAAACACACTCTCCCTGATAACATACATTAAAAACAAAACAACAACAACCTGTCCTCTGAGGCAAAACTGTTTGAGTCTGGAGGTTCTCAAGAGGTTCTGGATGAGCCTGCTAACCAGTCTCAAGTATAACATCAAGTATAACACCATATCTCAATGCTGAGATATGTCCCAAGACTTTGTGTTGGGGCAGTTGGGAGAACCCAGGTAGCTGCAGTGCCATCATTGATTTTGCCTTGATCCACTCCTCTGATGTACCTGCACAGGCCACACTCTCTCCACACCAAAAACCTGTCCCAAGTGCTAACATAGAAAAGCCCAGTGCTTAGCCTGGCAGGAGGCAGGTCCTTTCCCTTCAGAAATAAAGGACACGATGCTCAGTGTCAACTGCTTCTACTCTCCCTCTTAGATTCACTCCAGAATCTGAAGGTTGGAAGAGAAGCTAGTGGGTACACGAGACACAAGTCTCACTTCTCACTTCTGAGTTGAGCTCTGAGTTTCTAACCACCAGTCTAGTCCATCACATTGACCTCTTTGGTACCTCTGTGATCTTCAGTTCAACATACGTCAGTTCAATGAAATAATCAAACATCTACAATGGCAGAGAAACAGGCATTCTTGAATAATATTGGGTATTCGTAAGTGACTAGATGGAGAAATTCCAGTCTGCTGGCCTTGTCTGTGGTTATTCAAGCACTCCATATTCCTTTGATGTTTCCTGAGGCAAAACTGTTTGAGTCTGGAGGTTCCTAAGAGGTTGGGATGAGCCTGCTAACCAGTCTCAAGGATAACATCAAGTATAACACCCTATCTCAATGCTGACACCACATGCTTCTCTGCTGCATAGCAACTATGCTCCTGCCAAATTTTCTTGCCTCCAATGGCTATGAATGCCAGGAGGACAGCTTGCTAGCCCAGGTGACAATGGAACCAAAAAAGAGAGTGTGTGGCAGAGCCATCTACAACATGGCCAATTAGCTCAGCTCAAGCCACCATGTTCACATACAACAAGAGAGGATGTGTTAAAACACAGCAGTATCCATGTTCTCATTCTAGTTTACAGTTACAGAGCTTATAGCCTCCATACACCCACCCTCTCAGAGCTGAACCCTGACAACCAAGACCTTGGGCCCTTGGGTCCTAGGAAGCATCTCTTCCCTCATCAAAGGCTCAAATGTGATGAACAGGGACCCTTACATATTAGCTGTCAGGACGCATAAAAGCCATCATGGCCTTTGTGAAGGTTGAGAGTGTTGGTTACCACTCCTCAGCACAGGTCTCTAAAGGTCCCATTCCCTTACCCAGAAATCTCTAGGAAGATAGAAACCTTTGGGAATAAGGGCAAAAGGGTTTTGTTCTTGCTTTTTCTACTCTTTGAAACACACAGTATGGACCCTTCTGAACCACGGGCAGCAGGGTCAAATGGGAGCTGAACCTGCCCACCCTCTACTGCAGCAGCCCTTTTTACTTACCGGATGGGCTCCGTAGGGTCTAAGCGCAAAGCCTTCTGCTCTGGGGACAGCTGCTCCCACTGGAAGTGGAGGCTCCAGTCAAACCCTGAAACACAGCATTGACCCAGTTTGTTTGGTTTCTCAAAGAACACTCAGAGCTTTCTTATCCCACTCCTTTTCCAGTTCCTGGAAAAACTAGTCCCTGGGAAGTCACATCTCCCCTTGTATGACCAACAATAGGGCCGCCAAAGTTTGTTTGTTTTTTTTTTCTAAAGCCCTTCATCCCACTGGGGGCTGGCGTCTCTGTGAAGTTCCCTGCTAGGTAGAGTTAAGAAATAAACGGCTAAGGGTAAAAACCAAGGCACATGGCATAAAGGTGATGGAATGGGCAGTTATGGAACAAAAATCATAGGTCTGAGTCTTGCGGAGGAGTAAGTTTTAGTAAAGGAATTTTGGTGCCAACCGTCTGAATTACCTACAAGTCAGTATTGGGTAGAAAGTGAACTGGGCTCTCGGCAGAGAGCAGGGGGGGGAAGTCTCTGGAGGAGGGTGATGCTAGTGCCAAGATGGCAGAGCAACGTAGCCCAGGACTCCTTGCTTCTACTTCCTCATGTCTAGGAAAAGCTCCAGATTAAAGCTAGAGTTCTGGTTATTTCTGACTTATATCCCCAGCATGTCGCTGTCCTAAGAGAAAGGTTCAAGCTGAGCTGAATTTTATTACAATATAATGACCCAGACATGTCAGACAGCTCACAAGGAGGCCTTCCTTTATTTTGCCCACTTTGAGATGAGGTGAAGGAAGAAGGGGAGGAAAAGAAGAAGGGAAGGGAAGAACAGGAGGTGAAACACTGAGAAAGAAAAAGAGGAGAAATGGGAGGAGTAAGAAGGAAGGAGTATTGGCATGCTTACCCCCTCTGAGCTCTGAGGCAGATTCAATGTAGTTGAAGGTATCCAGGTTAATGATGTCAATCACAGGGCATACTACCCTTGTGTAGTCCTATGAAACAAAAACCTGCGTTCAGCTTCAGTGAGGACCTGCTAACTCGGAGTCAGGGAACTCGGGGGGCTGGGGTGTAATCAACTTCTTACTCTAGTCTGTAGTCATGAAAAGCAAAGCTGATATCCCCAAAGAGAACTTGGGTTCCCAAATTCTTTCACCTGAGGCCCGTGGTTCTTAGACAAGTTAATAAATATCAGTTCCTTGGAGGCAAATGCATTTCTGTATTTCCCGTCCCTGATTCCCTCCTACCTATCAGCCCAATATGCCACTGGCTATTTCCATACACATATTCATTCAGCTTAACCATGGTTTCACCATATTCCACTGATACACACTCCTTCCTTTAAGTTCTGATTTCTATTAACAGAGCATCCCATATCTTTTCCCCCTGGTCCATTAACCAGACCAGGTTCTGGTTCTGACTCTAAAACAGTAGTCTTCAACCTTTCTAATGCTGTGATCCTTTAATACAGTTCATGTTGTGGTGACTCACAACCATAAAATTATTTTCATTGCTACTTCATAACTATAATGCTACTGTTACAGATTGTAATATTAACATCTGATATATAACACCCAAAGGGGTCTCAACCCACAGGCTGAGAGCCACTGCTCCAAAAGGACTCGACTGAATCCACACTGACTCTTTCATAGAGAACTACAGTGGACTGCCAGAGCCAGCCAGCAGAGTCGAATGGTTCTTGAGTGGGAGTGAGGATTAATATTATTTAAATAAACACACAGCACACAGGAAAGGTCCAGACTCGACAGCCACAGCAAAAGGCAGGCTGCTGCAGCAAGCAGTGCAAGCAGCAAGTCTCAAGTCTCTGCCTCCTCCTCTGCCTCCAGCCCTCTGTTTCCTAACATTTAGATTTCCCACATTATACTTGCTTTTTGATGAAATCTTAGGTCTGGTTCATGCTCCATGTCCTCTAAGCTCTCTCCTCCAGCTCTGCTCTCCTCGTGCTCTCTCCTGGAGCTCCTCCTCCTTCTCACCCCTTCCTGTTCTCTAGCTCCTCCCCTCTTTCCTGTCCTCTGGCTCCTCCCATTGCACAACATTGTATCTAGTTGCTTTATTTGTGTCCTCTTTACACAAGAGTTGAGACAGGATGCTTAGAGCATCATCTTCAGCCTTCTTCTGCAGTAACTGTCTTTTTATTGTAGAGTTTCTAAGCCAGAGTAGAAACATCTCAGAACAATGGTTTAATTTGCACAAGGAGCCTGAGGAAGAGGTGTGATCCTCACAAGCTATCCTACCTGCTGTCACAAACAAAAGGAGATGGACTTGCAAATTCTACCCTGCCTTTAGAGAAGGCCCAGTAAAAGCAGTCTCTCCGCTGAGATTTAAATATCAAAGCAGCTGCCAGAGGCACCGCTCCCAACAGTGGACCTCCATGATCCTCTCTGTTTCTTTTCCTTCTATGGTTGGCTGCCTCTGCTCTTTTTGCTATGAAAATCTGGTCATGCTACTCAGTCACCCAACACTTTAATCATCTCCAACATAAGGCATCATTTCTTAACACATACTCTTAAGGCCATCCAAACCTGTGCCATATATGAGTGAGAACATGAGGTGTTGGTGTGAGCGGAACAGACATCACCAGAGGCTAGGAAGGGAAGTAGGGGAGAGAGGACACAGAGAAGCACCAAAATTCAGCAAAAGGAGGCTTAAGTCCTACAGTTCTTTAGCACAGTTAGGGGATACAGTTTTTACTAATTTATACATATTTCAAAATGTTAGAAGAGAAGATTTTGAATGTTTCCAACACAAAAGAAATGATCAACGTTTAAGGCAACAGAAATGCTAATTAGCCTGATTTGACCATTACTCATTGCATATATACATGGAAATGTTACCCAATGCCCTATACCCTAGTACCCTGTGAATACGCAGAAGTATTTAATTGTGTCAATTAAAAAATAGTCATGCATCTTGTTTTCCAATTCCATCACTTCCTGCTTCCTCGGGATACCCTATTTGTAGCTATCAAAGTATCTGGTGAAAGGGCTAGAGAGATGCCTCAGTAGTTAACAGTGCTTTCTGCTCTTCTAAGAGGACTTGGGTTCAGTTCCCAGCACCTACATAAGAGGCCCAGAAGCACCTACAACTCCAGCTCCAGAGGATCTGATGCCTCGAGCTTCCGTGGGCACCTGCACACATGTGCATGTTCACATGCCCGCATATAGATGCACACATACAGATAATTAAAGCTAGAACAGCATCTAAAATATCGTCTAAGGGATATTTTCAAAATAACCAAACCCAAGTCCTCAGCTCCTAGGGGTTACCAAACCTATCAAGTTTGACCATTGTAGGTGAGTATACAACAGGCATATCAGCCCCAACAATCGTATAAGCAAACTGGAAACACAAAGACTGTTGGATCTCACAATGAGAGTCAAGAGTCAAGTGGCCTAGAGAGGGCAGACTCTCTGGAGGAAGCTGTCCTCTACACCCACCAACCTAGGGCTCAGGGAGGAACTCCTTAAAGCTATCTAATTTCTAGGTTCAGTATTTTCCCCCAAATGAGGCTGTCTTCTTATTTTCAACTCCAGAATCACTGAGCACTTGATTCTAAGCTTATAGACTTAATTTGGCCCCGAGCCTCCCACATCCAGCTCAATCTGACAGTAACAAGGTGCCTCTGAAAATTAATCTACCCAGGTGGAAAGGAATGCTCATTGCCAAGGCATCGCTTCTGTTGCAAGGGCATCGGGAATGCTTCAGCTGTAAGCACTGCACCTGCCTGGGTGCCAGGGTCTCCTTGGGGCTACCTTCCAGCAACTTACATATGTCTGAGCACCATGCATACCCCTGAAGATACTATTATTACTTTAGTTTTAAAATCAAATAAAAAGTTTAGAGACCTATTCTGTAAGTCTGACAAAGTCTCCATTCTGTCTTCTTGTGTTGTGTTCAGGGACCTCAGCAGCTGCACTGATTCCTTCGGTGACCCTTATACAGTAAATGATTTAAACATGCTCAAAGGCATGTCTAGTCTGTGCCCGCTGCTACGGATAACCTCTAAGCCCTTGGAACATCCTGCCTAGAAGACAGGAATCTTGGGCCATACTAGATAGCCTGCTAACAGTATGTGGTGGTTCGTCCCATGAAGGACCAACTTGACCTCTGCAGCCACATGGTGACCATGAAGGTCAGGCTCATGTATGTGGTTGAGATCCCCACTTAAAAAGCCCTGGATACCAGCTGAGTGCCTCTAGTTGGCAACACTCTCCTCCTCCCCTTCCTTCCCCTCCCCTGGGCTGCCACACATTTCTTTCAGGAGAAGTAAACACTGTCTCTAGAACCCATCTGGGAGAGGACAGCTAATTGCTCATGATGGAACTACTGCTGCTCTTGACCTGTTTCCTGTTGCTATAATCAACGATAGCCACAAGTAGGTTAGCTTTGCTGACTTACGGATCCTTGCATTGACCCACAAGAATGGTCTTGAAGACTCTTAGACTATAATCCTGTTTTGTTTTAGTAGACATGAAACTACCTTTCCCAATTTAAAAATCAAAATGAAAAACCAAGTATGGAGCATATCCCCCAGCCTCAGCCTCTCCATGGGTGCCACCTCACAGCTGTGACAGGCTCCCCAGGCATATTCCTAACCCCTGAGGGCTTGTGTCTTGGGTTTTCTGTCTCACCTCAACTGTGGTATCTGGTCTGTGGAGAAGACACAGGCAGTGAGGGCTGTTGAGGAGGGGGCAAGTGCTATGTTGACTTATTATCTTGAAAGGGGCTACAGAAGCCTTTATAAAGAGTCACCCAAACCAGAACACGAGCTTGCTACTTACATACTAATCCAAAACACAAGAGGACTGGTGTCTGCTCTCTGGTGTACCCTTCAGGCCTAGTCCAGAGCCTGGCGGGCATCAGGTATTTCATGGCATTGGCAGGCTATCACTCCCTCAAAGGATATTGTGTAGGTGATGGCAGGCGCAGGTGGGGCACTTCCTAACAGGATAGCTTCTCAAGCTGGAGGCTCAGTGATGGGAAGAGTCTCCATACAATACCCAGACTCAGCAGAGGTTCCTATTGTGTGCCCCCAAAGGGTAGCTCCTGAAACTTAGGCCTAGCAGCTGGTGAAATCCTGGGCTGATCCTGGACTATGTCCTATTCCTCATTTCCTCCCCCTACCATGAAAATCCAAGCCTATTCCCTCTTTTTCTCCTACCCTACTTTATGCCTATTCCCCACCCCCTCTTACTAGGAGAAAAGAGGCGGGAAGCAGTGGGCAGTAGTCATCAACCACTGTTACTCTCATACCTCTTGTTTCCTCACTGAGTCACATAATTAAAGCATTTTGTGAATGGGCAATCAAAAACTTTTAGAAGCACTCTCTTAGGAAGTCACTCACGTCCTTGAGTCTTCCTGTGGTATAGGAATTGTAGGGGGACAAGATGAGCAAGGGGGCTCCACAGTCTAGGGAAGATGAATGGGTAGTAGATGGATTTGATTCAGGGTCTAGAAACAGAATAGGGGGTCTCTCAGCTGGCCTAGGGGGAGGTGTGACATATTAGTTATATTTTCCTTCCTATGACCAAATACTTGACAAGAAGCAACTAAAGGGAAAGAATGCTTTATTTGGGCTCTGTGTGGCAGGGAAAGCATGGTGTGGCACCAGGAGCTACTATAGAAGCTGGAGTGTGTGAGGATGCTTACATCTCTCTAGATTAATAGCAATAGGGGAGGCCACAAACCTTAAGACTCATGCTCAGGCCAACCAATGAGTGGAGAGAGCCAACCCCTGACACTATTAACGATACTCTGCTATGCTTGCAGACAGGAGCCTAGCATAAACATCTCGTGAGAGACTCTATCCAGCAGCTGATGGAAACAGATGCAGAGACCCACAGCCAAGCAATAAGTGGAGCTCAGGGAGACTTGTGGAAGAGTGGGCAGGGGCAGGGTGGGGAAGGGGGAGTAAAGAGGCCAGAGGAAATAAGGATACCATAAGAAGACCTACAGAGCAAACTAACCTGGGCCCTCAGAAACCTACTTCCTCCTGTTAGACTCCTACCCCTATGAGCTCCATAATCTTCCAAAAGAGCACTACTAGCTGGGGACAGAATACATAAGCTGGTGGGGGAGGGAGTGAGATCAGTTTACATCCAAATCCTTACTATGTGAGAAGCTGGCGAAGGGTCCTTAAGTAGGTACTACTGTTGGCTGGGGATACATTTATTGCCAGGATATCGAGATGTCCATTCAGGTTCTGTCATATAGAAATATGTATGACATTAGTAGATTGGCATAGTCTATGGGATTCTGTTTGTAAATCTGTGACAAGAGGGCAAGCTGTTCTTATTTGTAAACCGACCTTGCCTTTTTAAAAAAGCCCACGTGAGGAAGCAAGAGAGGAAAGCACATGTGAAGGTATTGAAGGGTAAACTACTATTTATGTAAATTTGAGGGATCTTGAAAGGATTGAGATTTCTTGAAATCTCTTTCCCATCAAAGAAATATGTGGGGAGGGATGCAGAAGAAAGTTATGTTAACACACACACACACACACACACACACACACACACACCGGAAACCAGTTTGGTGAATGTTTCCAGTATCAAGTAATTAGAGAGAAGAGAAAGGATATTAGGGAAGTGTCACGGGGAAAACTTGAGCTGAGGATGGCCCAGGACAGCCCAGGCTCAGCTTCTTTCTTATTTTGTTCTATTTTTGAAAATCCCATTCTCCAATTATGGCTTAAAAATTTCCATTCCACTCACAATATCAAATCACTCTCAGTGTGGAGACAAGGCACATACAAAGAAACCCAGACACACGCGCATTCCCCATCCCTGTGGGGCTGGCCCAGGGCACCGCCCCATGGTCTCAAGAGCTTTCAGGGTAAGCTTAGTAGCCCACAGAGGGCTCTCTAGGCTGATCCTGGGGCCTGTCTCACTAATCTCTTCGCTGTAAGAGGCTGAGCTCAGAAGGTGATGGGGACCAAGAAGCTAAGCTCTCTCATGGGGCTAAATGACTCCCAAAGGAGTATTTGGCTGCAGGAAGTCAAACTCCCATCTGAGACAGCAAGGGAGACTATGCTAGCCCATAGGTAAGGCTGGCTGCAGATGGAAAAACAGGACCGTCTATCAGGGAGCTTTTCAAGACGGACTCAGAGCCATTGGGATAAAAAGGGATTCAGACTCATTAAAACTGAACTCAGGATATAGCCTTTGGGGCCACACAACAGAAGCCTCTGTTGACTCTGGTATTGTATCAAGACTCTCCCCATCACTGAGCCTCCAGCTAAGTCCTATAATAAGAATCGATAATAAGAAATGTGGTTTTGTTTGGTTGTTTGGTTGTTTTGTGTGTGTGAGAAAGAAACATAGGGAGATGTAAGCAAGCTGCCTCACACTCTACTGATGACCCGCAAAAGATTGGGTGCATCACTATTCTCATCAAGCATGGAGGAGAGGCTCATGAGGTTTCACCTCTCACTGTTAGTCTACAGGCAGCTAATGAGTACTGGGGGAGTGGCTGAAACTCATTTTCCCCAGTAGCATAGTCACTGACAAGTTGCCTCTGTTCCAGTAAATAATCCCTCACCCCTGCTCCTATAAGCAACCTTAACTAAATACAGTGAGCCAAAAGGACAAAGAAATATCAAGCATAGTGGTGCAAATCTTTAATTCTGGCACTAAGGAGGTGGATCTCAAGGCTAGCCTGATCTATACAGGGAGATCCAGAGTAGCCAGGGCTACATAATGAGATCCTGGAGATGGGGGAGGGCAGTCAGAGAGAAGAAGGGAGGGGAAAGGAGGGGGAAGGGAAAGTCAAGGGAGGGTGAAGGGAGGGAGATGAGTGGGAGGGAGGGAAGGAGTAGGGGGAGGGGGGATGAATGAGGGTAATGGGAGATGCCCCAAATTCAGTATATAAATGTATTAAATTGTCAAAGAACAAAAACAAAACTAAAAAAGGAAAAAAAAAAAAAACACAGTTCTTTGGGTATAATTATCTTGGAGATCCCTATACAAGAAACATCTAATTCCAGCAATCTTAGTTCGTAGTATACATCTCATAAGAAGTGAAAACAGATACATAGATAAAAACCCATACATGAATAGTTATAGCAGCATTACTATTGGTACATACACGTGGATGAAGACATACCAGAGGATAATCATTTGGCCACGAAAAGAAGATTGACGTACTACAGTGTGTATGGAGCTCAAATCTATGCTGGGTATGATAAGTCAGGCTCAAAAGGCCATCTCATATAAACATGATTTTATGAAATGTACAGAACAGGCAAGACCCTAGGGACAAAGCAGATTAGTGGCTGCAGAGGCAAGAAGGGGAAAGGAAGGAATGTGGTTGACGGGTGTGAAGTTTTTCTCTGAGGTGGTGAGAATGTTTTGTTGTTGTTGTTGATTTTTGTTTTTGTTTGTTTGGTTGGTTTTGGTTTTTCTAGACAAGGTTTCTCTGTGTAGCGTTGGCTGTCCTGGATTAGTTTTGTAGACTAGGCTGGCCTTGAGCTCACAGAGATCCACCTGCTTCTGCCTCCCTATTGCTGGGATTAAAGGCGTGAGCCACTATCCCTGGCTTGAGAATGTTTTATAACTAGACTGTAGTGAGAACTGTGCAATCTGCAAACTGCAGTGTGGAATGGTCAAATGGTCACTTTTATTACATGTCTTCCCCATGTATGTGCTTGCACACACACACTGCATCTGCTAACCTGGTAGGGATAAATTACCTAAGAGACCACATGAAGTGCTATGGGTAAGAAAAAAAAAAAAAAAAAACAGCAGAATACAAAGTTAGGTAAATACAGGATGATTACAACTGTACTAAAAGATGCTTCTCTGAAGAGAAAATGATTCTAAATGGGAAGAAATGAGGCTTCGGATGTCTTCGCACGATAGAATTTTGGTTGATTAGTTTTCATTCTAATGTTCCATATTTTTCAAAATGTCTGCAGTAACTCTGGGATACTTTTGTGATGGAAAACAAGGGGTCCAGGCCTCTTCTTTCCCATTTTAGGTTCCTGGGCCACAGGGTTTCCATAATATCACTCCTGGCTTTAGATTTACTTCTTGGTATGACCTTGGCTGAAGTAGGTCACATTGCCTCCAACCTCAGCCTCTCTCCGCAGCCAGGGTCTATGCCCTATACTCTTTACCTTCCCTGTGGTTCTGCAGCCTTGGCCTTCAAGCCCTGTTTACACACTGTGGTTTCTTCTTAGATTCAGGCACAGACTAGCAAGAGGATGCTTTCACTAGCCCTCGGCTCCTGCTTGTACTCAGGCAGAAAGACCTTTCTGGGAATGTAAAGATTCCCGCTGGAGGGGGTTGTTCAGCATCTGAGAGTACACAAAGCTTCCTATGTTTCTTTCGCACAAATAACTTTTGTTTGTTTGTTTTTGAGACAGGATTTCTCTGTGTAGCCTTGGCTGCCCTGGACTCACTTTGTAGACCACCAGCCTGGCCTCAAACTCACAGAGATCTACCTGTCTCAGCCTCCCCAAGTGCTGGGATTACAAGTGTGTGCCCTATCATCAGTTTTTATAGCACAGGGGTTCACAACCTTCCTAATGCTGTGACTCTTTAATACAGTTCCGCATGCTGTGGTGATCCCCGACCATAAAATGATTTTCCTTGTTACTTCATAGCTGTAATTTTGCTACTGTCATGAACTATAATGTAAATATCTGTGTTTTTGGATGGTCTTGGGTGACCCCTGTGAGAGGGTCATTTGACTCCTGCAAAGGGGTCGCCACCCACAGGTTGAGAACTTCTGTCATAGCACTTCTATTCATGGTCACCTAGTATGTGTTAGTTCTTTCCAAACCAGTGTAGCATACAGGAACCATGTAAGATACCTGTCAACCAGCTGAGGGGCCTCCCTCCAAAGGACATGCAGCACCCTCTTAGTTCTCTTTTGAGCAGTGTGCCCACTGGTCTCTTCTCTCCTTTCAACACTGTTGTTATGAAGGCAGGAGTTGTGTGGCTACTAGGTAGAGAAGGAGGAAACCATCCCAGCCCAGGCCACACAATGCTCGGCTGATGTTGGAGATACCATTCCTAAAGAATAGCAAGCCATGCCACGTAATAGTCTGGACACTATTTTCTCATCTGTGAAATGAGTATGAACAAATGCCCAACTCCTACTTCCCCCCCTAACTGTGCAGGTCAATGATTTAGGATGAGTGTCAGGCAGCACCAGTGTGTTTCCTTGGTACTGGAGTCCCCTGCCTGTGTGCTCTGTAGTGTGTGAGAGGAATGGGTGAGCGTTTCCCCACAGTATAAAGTAACGGGGAGGGGAATAAAATCAGGTTTTGCGCTCTAGAGTGGTGGCTGGGGCGCAGAGAAAAGCAGCACACAGAATCTTGGAGGGATGAACAGGAAGGGGGTTCCAACCTCAGCATCCAGCCTCCGCCTTGGCCCAGGGCTTTCAGGTAAGGGTGAAACGGTTGGAAGGAAGAGAGACCTCAGGAATTAGTTATTTCTGCTGCCTCCTCCCTACAGTAGGCACTCCTGAGGAGGTCCTCTCCGGACCTTTGACAGATATAGTTCTAGGCAGTTTTCTCTTGTCCAGGACCCCGAATGCTACATGCTACCCGAAGACAGCTTCAGTGTCAGGCTTGCTGCCCTTGGCAACAGTGTGAGAAAACGAACAGCCCAGGCCTGGCTTTGCCACTGACCACATGCAGTTTGATCTTATTCAGGCCACTATACTTTGGTCCTTCATCTATAAAAAGAGAGAACAATCCTGCCCCATCCAGAGCCCTGAGTAAAGTCACAAGCATGGAGGTCCAAGGCAAAGAGGGAGGTAGGAACTCCAGCTCTGTTCCTCAGCCTGACTCACCTCTTTGACCCTATGTAAGAGGGGCTGCAGCCAATCCCTGTTCACCTCACAGTGGCTGTCCAGGAATGTCAGAGTGGTACCTTGGGCAATGTCAGCACCCCGCATCCGGGACCGGACCAAACCTGTATCAGGGACAAATGGCCAGACGGGTCACTGTTGTTCCAGTGACCCACAAGACCACGTCAGGGTCATTCATCCTTTCCTTGAATGCCCAAATACACACAGCCAGCATAGCCCACGGTCCAGTGACCTGCCCGCTCTGCCCCACAGACAGCCTACCTTGCCTCTCACTGTTACGCAAGCACTTCACCTTGGGCAGTTTGATTAGCTGCTTGCAGTCTTCAGCTGCAAAGACAAAGGTCATGCTTAGTGAGCACCTGGCATGTAATGTGTCTGAGCAAATTTGAAGGAGTGGGAAGGGAGACCTGCTTGCTGTCCCCACCCTGACTGCAGAGCCTGGTCCAGGCTGTTTCTACATCATGGAAGGGGCTGACAATCACTGAGTAAAGTGACCACAACTGGGCCCATTTGGAATAGGTCGGCACACAGTGGCACAAGCATGTGATCATGAAAACGTTCCAGGCATGGATTCGTGGTCTGGCTACCCCAGGGTCATCTCTGTTGCTACACACCATTGGATTATTAATTTAGAGTTTTTTCACCATGGTGAGTCTAGCTGAAAATGCTAGAAAACCAGCAACAGAAGGAAACAGCTTTGAAATTTGCTTTTAGAACATGGAGGCCCTCTTTATGAAGAGGTCAGTCTATAGGTTCCTCCAACACAACAGAGCTAATAAAGGGTCGCTGGTCTCCAGCCTGATGAACAAGAGCCTCATTGTCTTTTGGGTATGAGACCCACTGCATTTTGATCATTTGCCCCAATCACCCTGGAACTATTCTGCTGCCCCATCACTTCCATTACTGGACTGGCAGCTCTGAATGTGTTAATACACTAGATCTCTGTATAAACCACATATATGATCATAGTCATCTCTATTATACAGGCAAGGGAGCTGACTTGAAGCTAATGGTTTCCTTGAGGCACATGGCTAAGGAGTGAGGAAGTCCCAGACTAGGGTTTGAGCCCAGGATGTCTGGCTCCTTTTAAGGCTGTTACCCTGTTCCTCAAGGACCTTCCAGGACTTCCTTCTTCTCTTGAGCACTAGGCTACCCCCAGGAGAAGTACACCCTACTCTAAGCTCTTTCTCTCTAAGCCAGGAGAGCAGACCACTGAGCTCCAGATCTAGTAGAGCTCTTAGGACACATTGCTCACTTTTTCATGAGGAATCCAGAGTCTGTGTCTTATGTATTCATTTCTGGTGCTTATGTAGCAGGTGCCAATGTGGGAGAGGCCCCTGTGCCCAGTTCCCAGCACCTATGCTGGATGGGATGAAGGATGTTTTCCTGATACTTGTAGCTGTCTTTCTCTTAGTGCCACCCACTTGGCTCATCACCAGGAAGAGATTGCCCCACCTGAATGTGCTGAGAAGAACTGCATCTAGGACAGTGGCTGTTAGAGGTGGGTGTCGGCACTGCCAATACTTGATTTCCAATAATGTTTCTATAATTATTGTGACTTTCAGACTTAAATAGGTGTCTAGAGACCCCAGCATGTTTTACTTGAGAAAACAAGTCAGGGGAGTAAATCTGGGTGGGACCTGCGCTCTTTTATGGAATAACTGAGGAAATATGAGGCAGAAAAGGATGATATTAAGTGTGTGGAAAGGTTCAAAGGCTCACACTGTCACAGGCGTGTGTTGGGATGTCCCATGAGGATCTCAATGTCAAGGCCCACCAGACTCCCAGGGAACGAGAGAGAGAGAGAGAGAGAGAGAAAGGAAGCACGGCAGCCTCAGTTCTGATAGACACATTAGTGTAGCATCAAAATCAGGAGTCTGATGGGGCTTTGGGGTCTAATGACGATCCTTTAACTGTGTAGCATCGCTCCCCTTGTCCAGAAATGTATATTAGAAGATAATGACACAGATGCCACACATTCATCCACACGTGCACACACTCACCAACCATCCCAAGCAGGAATCTACCAATTTTAGCTAATTAGGTCTTCAAAAACTTACAACATTTTTTTTTCTCAAATGGGAGGTTAATCACCTTTTAAGCTCAGATATAGACACTCAGTCTTCCATGTCTTCTACCCAACGGTGGCTTCCATTCACCTCTAGAGTCTCAGTGGGCTCCCCTCCAATTGTATGCAGTAGCTGGGACCAGACATTTGTGCCTTGGTTTTCAATAATCAATGTTACTTACGGTCATTGCTGAAGTCATCCACTAATATGATTTCCTGGATCAGATGCATAGGGGTGCGGTTTAACACACTGTGGGGAGAAGAGAAAGTATGCTGTCTTCCAGTGGCAAAGTACACATACCGACTGCATTCTTAAATATTATTGCATAGGAGGGATGAAGATGCGGGGGCACCAAAGGAGTTGTCTAGCCATCCTGCTCGTCTGGGGCCACTGAGGATGCAATTCTGCTGTTCCCATCTTAGTAAACAAATGCTACCCAGACAGAAACCCAGGCAGTACCAACAACCCCCCTCCCTCTTCCCAAACCCTAGTCAAGTAGTTCTATCTGGGTGTTTTACTTCAACCACTCTCACCTTGTCAATCTCTGTCCTGGTTCACCTTCTTTTTATGAGTGAGTAGACAAGGCCTTACTGTGCAGCCCAGGCTGGCTTTGAACATTTGATCTTCCTGCCTTCCCTCTCAAGCACATGAGTCCTGGCATATCCCATGATTTGGTTTATGATCTCAGCCTTTACCTGCCTCAGCTCTTCTCAGTCCCAGGTAGTTTTCCTTGTGGCCTTCGAGTAGTCTTTCAGACACATATATCCCATAGTGCAGATTTCCATGTGGCCACAAACAAATTGATAAAAATCCCCCTGTGCCTTCCTGCTACCTCAAACCCTCAGCATGATCTGTACCCTCGCATCACTGAGCTGACCCAAGCTGCCCACAGCTATTCATGCCCAGTGCTGCCACCTGGATTTCTTGTGCTTATTCAGCATTGAGAGCCTCTTCTTCAAAGCCCTGAAATGGCCCTAAGCTGCCCACAAGGACCAGTTCAAATGTCACTTCCTCTCTAACAGCTTTCCAATCTATTTAGGGAGAATTAATTGTTTCCTCCCTTGGGATTCTTTGGCAGCTTTTAGCTGAGGCTTCTTACAGCATTTATCACTTCCTGACAGGGGCAGCTGGTTTTACACCTCACCAGGTAGGCTCCTGCCCCTGTAACCCTGATGCCAGGCAGAAGCCCTGGTGAGAGAGGGAAACACTCTAAGGAGAGACACGTGTGACTCTCCCTCCAGCTGTCAGTCAATTACTGAGTCAGTGTTTAACAGACATGTAGAATCCGAGCTCCAAGCTGACCTCAAATTAAGAAGACAGTGGCCTCTACCCTGCACCTATTAAGTGAGTGGAACTAGGGACAAAGAACTGTCAGTCTAGGACAAGTATGTAGCTTCCCATGAACCAGTCCATAAAAATCCCAAGATTCTTTTCTCTTTCAGATATGGAAGATGTGTTTATGTGTGTACATGTATGTTCATGTGCATGTGTGTGTGTTTACATATGAAAGTGGAGGTCGGAGTTCAATGTTGGGTATTGAAGTGTTAGTTTGAATGAAAACCACCATAGGCCCCCATAGGCTCCATAGGTAGTGGCACCATTAGGAGGTGTGGCATTGCTGGAGTAGGTGTGGCCTTGTTGGAGGAAGTGTGGTACTGGGGGTGGGCTTTTGGTTTCAAATGCTCAAGCCAGGCCTAGTGATTCTCTCTTCCTGCTGCCTGTCAATTTGGATGTAGAACCCTAAGCTACTTCTCCAGCGCCATGTCTGCCTGTACGCTGCCATGCTTCCTGCCATGATGACAAAGGACTAAAGCTCTGAACTATAAGCCAGCCCTGATTAAATGCTTTTGTTTATAAGAGTTGCCGTGGACATGGTGTCTCTTCACAACAAAACCCTAAGAAAGTGTCTCTTTTAATTATTCTCACCTCATTTTGTCTCTCATTAGACATGGAGCTCATCAATTTGCTTATACAACTGGCCAGCAAGCCACAAGGAATACACACAGCCATACCTGGCTTTTATCATGGGTGCTGGAGATCTGAACTCAGGTCTTTACGCTTGTGTAACAAGCACTTTCCCGACTGAGTTATTTCCCCAGACCTCAGGGGAGTGTGTGTGTGTATGTGTATTATTTTCTAGTACACACACGCACATATATAAATATATATATATAACAAAATATTATCTAATATTTCCCTCAAAAAATGTGAAACAGATTTAGTTTCCTCATTGCCAGGTTGAGAATGTTTTGCTCATTCTAATCTGTATTTTTGTCACTTATAAAAAAATGCTAAAATGGTTTTCCACAGAAAAGTTTTTTTAAGCCTCCCTATTCATTGTATTAGAAATAAAGTGGTGTTTCCTTAAATAGTAATTTTATTTATTCTTTGAGTTAAATAAAACATACACACAGCCCCATGCTTCCCTCCCAACTCCTCCTGGCTCCCTCAGATGTCCTCCTCCAAACATCATGTCCTCCCTCTTTTCTTCTTTATTTTTAATCATCCACTGAGTTCAATTAGTGCTGCTCATATCCACACAGGGGTGAAGCCATCCATCACCTAGCAGTGGCCACACCCCCAAAGAAAAATGACTCTTCCTCTCCCAACAGCTATCAACTTGCCAATAGCACCTCAGGGGTGGGGCCTTGTGAGCCTCTCCCCAGACCGTGCTTGAATTTGACTGGCTTGTGCTAGTGACCACAGCCTCTATGAGCTCATGAATGCAATGTCCCTATTATGCCCAGCATTTCCTAGCACTCTTCCTCACCTTCTGACCCTCACACCCTTTCCATCCCCTTGGGAAAGAGGCTTGTTACAGATGTTCCACTTGGGGCTGACCTCTCACCAGTCCCTTATTCTCATCATTTTGACTGGCTGTGAGTCTCTGTATTGACTGCCCATTGAACAAGACTGAGAGTAGCACAGAGCCTGGGTCAGTCCCTGGGCACAGTGTTGTGGGACTCCCCTCACTAGGGAATCTTTAAGACAGAATGCCTGACCCCATTTTCCTTGGGCTGGACCTGACTTAAAAACTATCTCTGTAATAGAGAACCTGAGACAGTAAAGGTAACTTGGGACCCAAGTCCCTTTGCCCAAGAACAGGACTGGTTAAAGCATCTCAGTGCTAAATTCACAATAATTACAGCCTTTGCTTGGATTTCTTGGATTTCTATAAATGAAAAGATGAGCACAGGTATGGTAAAGAGGGGATCACACTGCTCCTTCAACTTTGGTTTGGCTACACCGTAAAAAAAATTATATATATATATACATATATATATATATGTATGTATGTATGTATCCAATTTCCTTCACTAATTTCTGATTCTTAGTTTCTTTTGAAATACAGGGAAACTGTGGGGCAGGTTTACAAATCATCCCTGTAGATGGTAACATCCCATCTTTGTTCACTTCCCTCGATATTAGGATGTTTAGTGCCCACTTGTATATGCTGGCACTGAGCACTGGGTGAAGTCAGGTCCACCCTCAGAAGTTCATCCTTCAGCTATATTCACATCAAGGCTCTTAGGGTCTGGGCAAGTGACTTTATTGCCATTCTGCGTAGTAGCTAATCTATAGAATGGGAGCAGTTTACAGCAGGCGATTCTTCAAAGGGCTATGCAGACGATTAAAGGAGAAAACCTATATGAGGCATTTAGCGTAACATTTGGCACTAAGTCATAATAGACAGTAGCCATTCTTACTCTGTGACGTGTCACTAATGATTTGTTAATTGAACTGACCTCCTCAAGTCTCACTCAAGAGGCGTAGACTCAGTTTCAGGATTAACTGTGGGTCTCAGAACTCTCCTGACTATCTCCAAACGTCATGATGCAAAAACATTTTTTTTCCTTTGCTTCACAACAGCCAAGGCAGTACACGCAGAGTTCTGTGTACATTGGGAAAGGGGGCTCAGAGTGAGTGCTGGTGGGGCTTTTATGTACGTCCCTCTTTTCACATCTGCCTGAGCCCCTTCTTCCAGCACAGCCCCCTTTTTTATGCAGGATGAAGAGTCTATGAGAAAGGAGCTATGCCCGAGTCCCACCTTTATTTATGAAGCCTTAATTCTCACCATGGCAACTAGTGTAAGGTGGAGAGAGGAACCCCAACACAAAGCCCTGGCAAGTGTCACTGTCTCTGGGAGGTGGGGGACAGGGAAAAGAAGGAGGCTGCAGCCTCTACCATAGGTGGTGGTTTGACATTGCTCACTATGACTGTCCCACAGAAAACATAGCAAACCCAACCACCAGCCGTCTAATCAGGGCAGGAGAGGGAGGCAGACAGAGGGAGAAAACCTGCTTGAAGAATAACCTCTAATGAGGTTTGATTACGCCGGAGCTTCTGCATTCGATTCCCCCAAATCCCCGCCGGCTCTTTGAAATTCAAGAGTTCTCTTCTGTGAACATCAAAAGGTAAATCGCATGTAGCTCTGAGCTGGTTGAACTGAGAGATGATTAGCGAATAAAAAATGTCCAGAGTTTTAAAAACGGGGAGTGGGGGAGAAAGAGAAAGAAATCGTCAGCAGTAAGTGCTAATTAGACCATTTCCTGGGAACACCTGGCTTGCTTGTGTTCCTGTCAGCAGAGCAATTGAAGCAATGGTGAGGTCTCCCTAAAAAGTGTGAGAAAGGCATGCACTCAGGGCCCCTGAGGTGGCTGGAAAAGGAGAGGGTGAAGTCCTTCCCAAGAGCCTTGGCCTGGATAGCCCCCCCACTCCCAACCAATTCCTCCCATCTAAACCATGGCTGCTGTGATCTGCCCTCCATCCCCATCTCAGGCTCTTCAATCCTGGCTTCTCACCAGCTTCCCCTCAGCAGAGTAAATCCTCCTGCTTCCCCAGGACCCAGCCTGACAAAGGGTTTTCCTTGCTTCACCCCATCCCAGCTGCCCCTGCTTCGGCTGCCACATGTCCTTCTTCATGTGCCCGCAGGATGGGAGAGAGTGTTCATCTCATTGGCATGGGTGGGCCACACTGTCCAAGGAATCATTTTGGATCTGTCTCCTCTGTGCAATTACACAGGCAGAATCTATGACTTCTCCTGCTCCCCTGCCTCCTTTAGTCTAATTATGGGGCCCCAAGATATGTCAGCGTAGTTTGGGGAATGCCAAGTAAGCCATACAACTTGCTTGGTGTGTAGCCCTGAATGGGTCCGCTCCCAGCCTCCGTTCCTTCTGTAATTACCTTTCCCTTGTAAAAGCGGGTGATATTAATACTTGACCTACTTCACAGGCTTTTGTGTGTCTGAAACGAGAAAATGTATTTGAAATTGCTTCGTGAACTCCGCCGTGCTGTATGCAGACAGGTTTTATCAAACGCTCCATAAATACTATTTGAATGAAGACCTGGGACTAGCTGACGGCTCAGTGTAGTCGCTCTGGAGTGAGACGGATTTGCTCTCCAGTACAGCTTTCACTTGTCAGCAGGAGGCCTCCAGTCAGTACCAAGCCTTCAAGTGCCATGGTTTCCTTGGCTTTATGAGCATCGCTTAGCACCCTGCCTGGTACATGACAATTGCTCTTGGAATGTGGGCACTGATGATAAGATTATTGGAGCTACTAACAGCAACAGACATGATGCACAGCTGTGATTCTCAAAGTCTGAGCCTGGAGCCAGCAGCAGCACTGCCACAGCCTGGGGACTTGTCAGAAATGCAAATTCTCAGGCCATATTCCAGACTCGCTGAGTCAGAATCTCTGAGGCTGGAGCCCAAGAAAGCATGTTCTAGCAAGACCTCCAAGAGAATCTGGCATCTTCTCGCATTGGAGAGCCACCGCATGAGAATGCTGGTATAAGGACTAGGGAGACCATAGTCACACCGACATCCTCTGTGCCCGCAACAGGTCCCAAATACTGTGATTAATCTCGATGGGCATATCTGAGGGATTAAGAGACACCCCACAAAATTAGTAAAGCATTTTCCAAGGGTATCTGTGGAGATGTTTCCAGAAAGATTGCCATGTGGATCATCCAAGTGAGGAGGGAAGACTCAGCCACACGTAGACGGCATCATACTCCTGGGCTGCCGGTTCAGACAGTGCAAAGACTGTAAGGAAGAAGTTCATCAGTGCAGAGCCTGGGCACGTGTGCGCAGTATGGCTGCCCATGGGCATCAAATGTCGGCGTCTTTCCTCTGTGAATGTGTGCTCATAGCAGTACATCTGTCTCCAGAGAGCCTCAGGGACTTCAGTCTTAGACCAGGCTGTACCACTGGCATCCTCTTAAATCTAGTCTATCTATCTATCTATCTATCTATCTATCTATCTATCTATCTATCTATCTATCTATCTACCTACCTACCTACCTACCTATTTATGCACCCCACACACACAGGCACATGCATCTACTATGGTCCTTATATGGAGGTCAGAAGAGAGCTTTCAGGAATTGGTTCTATCCTTTCACCATGTAGGACTCAGAGATTGAACTCCATTTCCAGTCTTAGTGGCAAGTGCCACTCAGATGCCAGAGTAATCTTTCTGTTCCACTCCTACTCTTACCTTTTATTCTGAGGCTTCCATTTTTTTTTTTTTTGGACTGGTTTCTCTGGTTCTCCAGCTGACATATTGCTATGGTTAGACTATCGGACCCTGATCTTGTAAATTAATGTAGTAAATGCCCTTTTATGATCATGGATGCCACTCATTCTCTTCTGTAGAGAACACTGACTGTTAAACCTAACAGTACTTATTCAGGCTTTCCTGAAATTGTGCCAGGGAATTAGTAGTAATCATAACTGCTATTTGGCAGAATGGAAAACCAAGGCAGAGAGGTTGAGCCATTTGCCCATCGCCACACAACTGTTACAGGCAGTTAGGCAAATGTGGCCCCAGAGACCAAATTCTTAACCACTGTCACCTTGGAAAAGTGTCTCCCTAGGTCTAGAATATTACCATTGAGAGAGAAAGGTTGGGATTTAGAGTCATGGACCACTGCTTTTCTGCAATCCCATGGAAGGTGAAGGAATGACAGTTTCTCCGAGGAGAATAGGACAGATGACACAAGTCTCACACACTGTAAAGACCTGCTGTATCCCAGGTCATGATCAAATTCTTCAGCCCTTGCTTTCTCTCCCCTAGAGAATATCCGTAGTCCATCAAGGTTGTGATTCTCTCTTTTCCCATCATCTGTCCCATCATGTTCCCATCACTTGTACCTTTCTGTATCCCAGCTCTCAGCTAGGAAGCAAGAGCACCTTGGGATACTGATGGAATCTTTAGAGAAACCACCCTTTTCCTTGTCCCCTCCATATATCTACACTGATTTGCAAACGAGCAAGGCTCTTCACTATCTATAATGACACTCTTGGTGACACTGACAGTGACCTGGAACATTGTGTGTGTGTGTGGGGGGGGGGGGATCGTTAAGATCAGTTGTCTTGTTGGGGAATCACATGTGAGCTGAGTGCCCTGTGAGGTGCATACAGAAACCAGAAGAGGGTTGGTGCCTGGGGAAAACAGCCAGCCATCAGGTACCAAAGACAACGTGGGCTGCAGATGAAATTGCCCTTTCTTACAAAGGGGCGGATTCTTTCCTGGCCTGGAAGGGAGTCCCTGGCCCTACACAGCAGCCATTCAACATTTAGTGACAGGTGGTATGTCCCCTTGGGATGAGTCTGCTGCCAGACTTGCTTCCCCCCTACCCAGAATTCTCTACTGCCATAGCATGCAGATGTAGAAGAATGGGGACAGTGTGGCATGTCTGATACCAATGACATGAGGGAGGTTTGCTATGCTTCATACTTTCTCTGGCCCATCCATGTTTAATCTCTTTTTTTCCTCTGTGTATCAAATGACCTTCCCCCACAATGCCTAGAAAACTGTCTGCCTCCAAGGCATGAAGTGTCGTAATTAGGGTTTCTATTACTATGTGATCTTGATGTAGGACTCCCAAGTCTCACTTCTCTCTGTTGATCTACTCACCACCCTAGCTGAGGACAGGAAGTCTGGAGATCACAGGGGCCTTGCAGGGGAGCTACTGCAGGGGATCTGAGGAAGGAAAAATGAGGCAGCGGGCCTGCATACGAGGGAATGGAGGTGGAGAGAAGAAAGGAGTGTCCTTCCAGACATGGTAGCTGAAACTTGCCAGAGTCTCCTGGAACACAGGGGCACAACTCCTAGTCAGTCCCCACTCAATTTTCTAGGGTTAGTTTGCCTGTGGCTGGCATTGAGACTTAAGCATATGGAAAAGCTGGGCAGGCCACAGGCCATCTTTGTCAAAACAAACCTCTCGTAGCAGAAGCATATCTGAGACTAAGTGTCAAGATAGCAGGGAGGCCTGGGGCAAAGCAGGACTGGAGATGTCAGAAGATGCCCAGAAAGCATACATTAATGATTGTCCTCAGTTGTTCCCACACACACCACCATTGTCCCAGATTTGGAAAAGCATAGTACAGGAAGAGCAGCTCAGGGCACACTCCAAATCCTGTTCCTACCCCAGAGGCCGGGGATGGAACAAGCAACCTGTTTGTCTGAGCATCCTTCATCAGTTGTAACCATGCCAGCCCATGTTCTTCAGGTAGCCTGGTACAGATGGGCAAAGGGTCTGTTACCCATTCTTCTGCCTAATCTCCAAATGCCTGCAAGTTACCAGACACTATGGGCATGTGAGGGCTGGCAGAGAGGAAGCATATGATGTATGGACCAGTGCCTGGTACATGCCTGCAGGGTGCGCAGTGAGCAGATACGAGCTTAACCAAGTGCCAGGCTGAGTGATGGCCCCCGGACGGGAAGATGGCTTACCTGCGTATGGTTCTGAGCAGCGTGGAGCGTGCCTCATTGTGGAAGGTGATGATGATGCTGGTGGGGGGAAGGTCCGTGCAGTATACAAGCAGCGAACACCTGGCAACAAAAGCAGAGGATAAGCAAGACCTTCAAGAGCAAAACAGAACTGAGTGTGGGACCATGGACATCATCTGAGAATGACTGAAGCTAAATGTCCACAGCCTGGGAGGAATCCTAGGCTTGGAGTTTAAACAGAAATGAGCATAGTCATTTACACAGTCCTGAGTTCAAGTGCTGTGTCTCCTAACAGTCGCAGGAATAAGACTCCCAAATCTTGGGCTTTGCCCAAAATCTAGGCCCTTCTAAACTTGCTACCCAAGCCTCTGGCCAAAGAGCAGATCCAAGCCAATGGAAACCTTATCATATCAACTTCAGGACCAGCAGCTTCGGGGGTGGGGCCTATCTGACTATTGGCTCCCTGGCCCTGGCCCTTTACCCCTTCCCAATCTGGCATACCTGAAGAATCAGAGCCCCACAACCTCAGTATAAGCAATAAAGTCCCACCCCGAGAAAGAATTTGCTTCCATATGTCCAAGATTATTTTGTATGACCGTTACATCTGGGGTAATTTCAATTTAATATGTTGCCTCAGGTGAAAATTGTACCCTGCGGCCTGAGAATTGCTATAATAATGGAAATAGACCCTCCAAGTGAGGCCAGTTCTTCTGGGGGGATGTCATCTGGGTGTACACTTCCTCCTGTTCCTCATGATTTCAGGGATGGCCTGATTATGGTTGGAGTTATGGAACATTAAAAATATAAGTAAAGAACATGCTTGGTAGGTCACATTTCTGCTCTCACTCCCCCATTGCTTCCTGTGCTTTTAATTGGAAACCCAGAGACCCACAGATAGGCTTTGAGGGGATTAAGCCCTCTGGAGTTGTTAGCAAATAATTTATACAAATATGCACCTTCAATTTCTCTGGAAATATGGCTCTCATTTTTAACCAGATTTTCATACAGGTCCAGGCCTGAACCACTCATAATCTCTAGGCTCAAAGATCTGATGTCTCCTGTGATGCTGCATTAACGGTTCTGTGGGATCAAAGGCTTAAATACTGTATGCTCACGACATAAGTATGGGAGAAGCCAGAACTAGAACCAAGAGTTAGGGAAGAAATGTTGGGAAAGACAAGCCCTGGTCTACAGGCCTTCCTGTCCTTTATAGAGACACCAATCAGTCCCTCCTAGAGTTGCCTTGTCCTCCTCCACAGCACTCTTCCATGGCCCACCACAACTCTGCAGGGAAACAAAGTCCTGAGTGAATGCACACAGACATGTCAAGGGCCCATGGCAAACGGCAAAGCCTTTCTCAGGCGAGGCTCAGGGAAATGGCAAAGCCTTCCCCAGGTCCAAGCACAGCTATCACGAATGACTGTCCCTTAGCTAAAACCAGCGTGTGGGGTAACTATCAACCACAGCTCCTGCTTCCTGGATGACTACAACCTGAACTGCTCCCCTACAGAGACGCCTACCTTAGCTACCTTAGCCCCCTTGTTCTGTTGTATAGAATAAACTTGCCTCCTTGGTTAAGATGTATTAAATAAATGCTGAGTGTCCAGGATGTTGCTCATTGTACATCTCCATCAGAGCCATGGCCCACCCCATCCCAGCTATTCTGCATGCACATCTGTTGCTTCTTCATTCCCCAGTGTCCCAGTTAGGTCAATCCCTAAGCCATGATAGTTGTCTCCCTGCTTCTTCGCTCATAGCCTTTCTTCCAGTGTCATCCCACAGGGCTCTGACAGGCCCTTCTCTGGCTTAAAACCCTCAAGTGGTTCCTTATACATCAAGTCCAGCTTCCTTCTCTACTCTTCAAGACTCTTCCATAATCACAGTCTCACAAGTTCTCCAGCTCTCTGCTGTTACTCACACCACATGAGCAATGTCCTCCTCTTTTTTTTTTTTTTTAACCACCTGAGGAGTTCCTAGTCATCCTTCAAACCTCAGTGTCCCCTTTGCTGGAAAAATATGGTCTCCAAGAGGTAAATGACCTGTTGTTTATACCAGACATATGGAAGATGTCTCTTCTCTAGCACTTCTCATGATAATACTATATCCCCAAATTTACTGAGTTCATCCAGGGAGGAGGAACCATGGCTCCATCCATGATGTCACCCTCACAAGAAGGTATATGTATACAGATGCCTTTCATAGAGAAAGAAGAAAGTCAGGACCTGCATGCCCAGGTCAGCAGAAAACCCAGTCATTTATGGGTCTCAGACATAAATGGCAGTCTTTCAGATAGCTTCTGGGGAGTCCTGCCCAGAAGTTTTTGTTCTTGAGGAGTCCCCTTCTTCCTTGAATCCTTCTATGACCAGTGGGATATGGCAGATGTGACACTGTGCGGCTTCATGAAAGCTCTGTAGCCCCTCCCTCAGCCACCAGCTGTCATGCTGTAAAGACACTCAGGTATCCCTGCAGAGAGACAGCCTCATAGAAGCTGAGGCCCTCTTCCCTCACCTCTATCAGCTTGCCAGCTGTATGAACTGACCACATCAGAAACGGGTCCACCTACTCCAGCCAAGCCCTCTCACTGAGGCCTAATAAGGGAAGCTAAGCCAGTACTGCCCAGCCAAGATGCTCCCATTTCCTGACCCAAAGACACAGTGAAGATGGTCCAGGGCTTTTGCTGTTTCAAGCCACTCAGTTTAACCAGGGATGATTTGTTGGGTATTAGAAACTGTTATAAAAGGGGAAGAGAAATGCTAGGAAACAAGTCCAAAAGAATCTGGACTTGTCTGTCTTTGGACATAGCCCCACCTCTCATTAGGAGCAATAGTGGAGGGATGGGGAATGGTGGCTTTGGGGTCCTTTCTTGGTAGGTTACAGGATCACTGAGGACATGGAGGGTCTTGGTGAGAGGCCCTGGCAATGGAGTGGGCAGGAAGAATAAGCCTGATACCAGAGAGTAGGTGAAACAAATTATGGAAAGGGAAGCAAAGTCACAGACCTTTTTCTCTCAGAAACAGGGAGAGAACGGCGATCCAAAATGCCATGCCACCACTGCCAGGACATCTGACTGCTGTGGCTCTGCCATGGGGGAAGATGCTTGGAGATCCTCTGTAGTCAGGACTCAGCTTTCTGATTTGAGTTATTTGAGTTACTTGGAGGAGAATGGTGGTCTTTGGCGTTGTCACCTTGTTAGAGAGCTTTTAAACAAAGGGACTACTTTTCTTGCCTCAGAGACATCAGTTGAGGATACAGGCATATCAATGCACAGAAGTCTGTGCATACAGGCAGAGGATAACTGCCTGAAGTGTGAAGGCGGCTCCATTGAGAAAATGTTGGATCCCAGAGGGTAAAGTAAGGATAGACAGAGAATAGGGTAGCACCACCCACAGACTCTTGGTCTTGGGGTCTAGACAACCATCTACAGCACCTCTAAATCACCCACCTCTGCAGGCTATTGCCTGCCTCTTTGCTGATCAGGGTTAGTCCGAATTTTTCCATCAAAGACTTTGGCATAGAGGCAGAAGCTCTGGGTGTAGCCTGGCTTCAGGAAGCACAGCCCATTTTGTACTAAATGCTGCAAGCACTCTTTACGCCTGAGGTCCAAGTAGGCCACGGGGTTATTTGCTTCTGATTTTGATTTCCCCAGCTTTAGATTCTTCACCCAGACACTGGAGATGGTAACTCCTAATTTGCAAATCTCACTCACTGATCATTACGATGGCTAGCAAAAGGTGCTGGACAGAAAGTCACATGGTTGCTATTTCCAACGCCAGTCCCCTGCTGTGCCTTATTGGCTCTTTCTCATGTTGGAAAGGTGTCTTTGGTGGGCATCTTCCCTGGTGCTGACAGTGGCTAAGGGGCAACGAGAGGCAAGAGAAGGGACAGAGCTCAAGGACCGTGGCATCAATGCTGGAGAGATGAGTGTGATACCTTGACTTGAATCTGGATTTACCAAGAGCTAGCTGTGAGCCTTGGGGTATGGCATCCTCGAAGCTTCAACACTATTACCTGTAAAATGTGGTGAGGGCTCTCCTCCCAGACTTGCTGTGAAGGCACACAGAGCATTTGCTGGATAAGGCACACAAAGCATTTGGCAAGTGCCAAGGAAATGGGAACAGAAAAGACCTGAACCAGCCTCTGAAGCAGCATTTCCCAACCTGTGGGATCGCTACCCCTCTGGGAGCTGAACCACCCCTTCACAAGGGTCACATATCAGATACCCTGCATATGAGATATTTACATTATGATGCATAACAGTAGCAAAATTACAGTCATAAAGTAGCAATGAAAATAACTTTATGTTGGGGGTCACTCTAACATGAGGAACTTTATTAAAGGGTCACAGCATTAGGACTGTTCAGAACCACTACCCTGAGGGAAGTGCTGTGTGTCTTGACCAGAGGTGCAAGCTCACAGGGTAGAAAAGGAAGGGAGGTTGGAGATGGCACGTGGAACTGTTAAGGCTTCAAGCAGCAGCTGGAACCTAGGTGGCATGCTCCCAGGCCTGGAAGCTTCTATGTCCAAAAGGGTAGGACACAAGCATTGCTTGGGGTCATACCAGGAAGGCCATCAGCTCTTTTGCTGTGCATAGAGGTCAGAGGGCAAGATGGTGTTTCATACTGTCAGGCTCATATCCCACCTCAAGCTTTCCTGCCTCTGCTGCAGCCCAAAGGGCCTGGATTCACCCTCCATCCATTTGATATTCATAGCAGCCTCTGCAGAAAGGTAAACTGAGGCTCAGAACTTCCTCCTCAAAGGACATACCTGGTTCATGTGTGAGATAAGGGCACTGCAGATCCCACGACTCCTTAGCTGGTACTGGTCTCTAGTGTCCCATGAATTCCCTAGTACGTGCAGGTAGCATTAAGGACACAAGCATTGATGCTTTCCACACAGGAGTCACCTGTTTGCCAAGGCCTGGCCCACAGCCTGCTCAGGCACCAGGGACTGCTAATATGGACTCAAGCCCAAGAACAGTCCTTAAAGGTGTATTCCTAGAGGGAAGTCGGTCCGGACTAAATGGGCTCTCTGTGGGGGGACTTAAAAGATTAATCAGACACGGGTCTCTGGGGCCAAGAGGGGGATGAAAAAGGCAGCCAGTGCTGACGTCTGGCGCCAGCAGATGGACGAGAAAGCATGTTGATAATTTATTAAAGATTCGGGGGGGGGGGGGAATGGGGGGGAAAGGGAAGGGGGGAGGAAAGTGGGGGGGGGGGGGGGGGGGGGGGGGTTATTGGAGAGAAGAGCTAGCGAGTAGGAAAGATGGGAGGAGGGGAGCTTAGCTCGTCGTCTGAACCAGGAGGAGGACAAGGCATTAGCTGTGTGGGTTCAGTGGCTGAAGGGGTTTCCAGAGAACATTCCTGAGGCCAACCCTGGGCCTAAGAGGAGCCTGACCCTGCCCTTCCCTCACCTCAGTGTGAACTGTTGAGTCCTGCACACTTCTCACACCGAAGTGAACATGAAAAGCCACAGTTCATTAGAAACATGCCTGCCAGTTATCACAAAAAGCAATGATGCACACAACACTCTTTATTTTATTTCACACGATCATAAAATACTACAGCTGCCTGTGAGTGAGAGCATGCTGACCGTCATGGTCGCCCCCATTTTGTTAATGAGTTAGGAGCTCTTAGTGGTCCCCATGGCCCTGGAACACATGGTCTCCCTCTCACCACATGCTGGGAGAAAACACTTGATCATAAATTATAAATATTCAGGATTTTATGCTCGAGCATAACAACCAGAGGGAGTGATAAGAGAGGCAGGCCAGCTAACTTCAAAACAGAGTGAGAGCACAATTATCATTACTCTGAGGTTGGTATGGAGGGAGAGCTGCTCAATGGCTGTGAGCCCGGAAATGGGATCTAGCACCCTGGACAGGAGAGACTAAAGGTGGTTATTGAGTGGGCAGCGTGGCTAGAGTCAGGTGGAGGGTGTCGTTCAAATAGGCAATGTTTCAGTAAGATTCAGACAGGCTGGCATGGGGGTGGGGGAGCTCTCTGGTCAAATGGTTGCTTGGGGTTCAGCAATGATTCCCCTGCTCGGACCCTTAGACTTCTGGTTAACAGTGGTGACAATACCTACCACATAGTTAAATGACCGCTGGCGGGACCCTTTGTG